GAGAGAGAGAGAGAGAGAGAGAGAGAGAGAGAGAGAGAGAGAGAGAGAGAGAGAGAGAGAGAGATCAACTGATGTCTTTCATTCTCCCTGGCTGTTCCTTACATGATTTTAGAAAAGGTACGAGAATGAGGTTGTTGATCCAGGGAACAACACTGAGAGAACGATGCTCGTATATATATCATCAAACAGAGCTGCCTGGTAAACCTTCCGCACAGAGGGAGAAGAGGACAACAAACAAGGGGCTGTGAGAAACTGATTCGTTGGACTTTCACCGGCTCGTCAGAAGGCTGAACCCCATACCATATATATATATATATATTTGATTTTGGTTAAGGTGGATTATCACTTACAGTGTAATCAGTGAGGGGATTCCACAGACTGTTGAGGGTTCAGCCTCCTGATGAGTCGGTGAAACTCCGACGAAACAGTTTGTCACAGACCCTGGTTTGTTGTCCTCTTCTCCCTTTCTGCCTACGGTTTACCGGGCAGTTCTATTTGACGATATATATATATATATATATATATCGTCAAATATATATATATATATCGTCACAAACTGAACTGCCCGATAAACCGTAGGCAGAGAGAGAGAAGAGGACAACAAACGAGGGGCTGTGACAAACTGTTTTGTTGTATATATACAGGGTAACCAGTGTTCGGGACGGGCCGAACGCCCAAACCCGAACCCCCGAACGTATGGGACCCCTTGGGGATGCTTTCGGCCGTTCGGGCCGAACGCGGACCCAAAAAAAAAAAAAAACAAAAAAAAACAAGTCATAAAAAAACTCTGAAAAAAAGATATGTTATGGATAAAAATAAATTAAACCAGATTTGCCTGAGCATTACGTCCAAATTCCTTACCAAATTTTAAATACAAATAAAATACACAGAATAAATACTAATAATAAAAATAAATAAAAATAAAAAGAGAATTAAATTTAGTGAGTGCGCAAGCATGTTTTTGACACTGCCGTCTTTGGCGATTTTTCTTTTTTTTTTTGGCATAACGAAATGCTCTGAAAATTTACAGATATGTACTTCACATAATACAAAACCGACTAAAAAAGTTTCAAAAAATAATAAAATTTTTTAGACCCCGAACTAAAGTGAAAACAAAAAGTAAAAAGTGGAAAAAAACGTGGGCGAGCACGTTTTGACACCGCCATCTTTAACGATTTTTAATTCTAATTTGGCTAAGCCAAATGACTTGAAACTTTTTAGGCATGTACCTCACGTCATAGAGAACTCATAAAATAAAAAATCAGAAAAAAAAAATATATGTTTAAGCCCCGAAATAATTTTTGGCGGGGGCCGAACGCCCGAACGTACGGAGGTCCACCCGGGGGCCTCCGTACGTACGGGCTGGTAACCCTGTATATATATATATATATCCCTCTCTGCCTACGGTTTACCGGGCAGTTCTGTTTGAGGGGCTGTGACAAACTGTTTCGCCGGAGTCTCACCGACTCATCAAGAGGCTGAACCCTCAACAGTCTGCAGAATCCCCTCACTGATTACACTGTATTTGATAATCCACCTTAAACAAAATCAAAGTAGACTATCACTCACCCACACCAGATGGAAAACTCTACAGACTGTCGGTTGAGACCCCATCACAAGCCAGCAAAACATCCATGAAACAAAGAAAGGTCTGTCASAGCCAAAAAATACACTCCAGACACGCTGTTGGGACTAGAGGCACAACATGGCCGCATAGTGACGGCCCCGACCACTGCCGCTCGAGCTGACCAGAGAAAGCCGTAGCAGGAAGTTAGCGAAGTCATAGTATATATCGTCAAACAGAACTGCCTGGTAATATATTAATATCGTAA